AAATGCTTGAGGCCTCCTCCAGTCAGAAATCTATCTCTGAAAGTATAAGTCCGAGCTTGCCATCAGAGAATAAAAGTTTAATTAAATATTTAAGTATTAATCAGTGTTATTTTGATGACATTTATAACCTTTTACGCTATGCCATTATTGTAACGTTAACGATGACTATAAAAAAATGCTCTGGGGAAAATTGGACTACTCAGTTATTTTCATTAGGGAAATTCGGTCTACTCCAGCAAAAACGACTTCAGTTCTACTGCTAGAACTTTTCAGAAACGATTAACTGCAACTTCCGGAGGACTAAGTTTTCAGCTGGAGAACTACAAAGCTGCATGCTCCATGTTCATTTCTTCATCTTTTGAGAATATCGCTGGCTGACCGCAGTTTAGCTTCTGAATATCGTACTACCATTTTTAATGAACGTTTTTTTGATTTATTAAAATTTTGAGAAGCTAAACAAATCGATATTCATCAGTGATTTCGGCAGAGGAAGTGCAACCAGATGTTCAGTGTAGTGAAAAATGAAAATTTGTACCAAATTATTTATTTATTAATTTATTAGTTTTCGTGTTTTTTTCTTCTTCTCAATCGCTTCTTCAATTTTGTGTAAATGTGTAATCTTTGACTTTATTAGTTATTAACTCTTAATGGGAACAATAAATTACATATAAAAAAACAAAAACATTCTTCCAGCACAACATGTCTGCATGATCCAGAACCGATTTTCCAGAAACCCGGTCTCGATAAGCCTAAGAGCAGCCCCCGCTGTCATATTCGCAATCAACGTAGTTGAAAACCTATTATCGACTTGGTTTCGATCGAAAAGGGATTTGACTGGTAGGGAAATTCCCTCGTATGTTCTCGAAACATTTTTATACAAACCGCCTTTTTTGTGCTCTTTGTATTTGTCGTACGCCTAGGCTATAGAACCCGGCCAAAATAGTCCCTTTTGCACTGTTTCGTTGGACTTTAACCGGATGCAGTCAGGTAGAGCGACCTTAGACTACTTTAACAGATTTAAAAAAGACATGTTTTTTCCGTTGGGCTCTGAAATCAAACAGACTGTTGCTATGAGCGGACTAAACGGACAACACGTCGGTTTTAAATAGGGTTTTTAGGCATGCACCAAAATGTTGATGTTCAGTGTGACTCAGACATTAGTAAAAGACCGCCCCACAGTGAGTATGTCCCTAGAGGATGTACCTGATGCCAGTACTTGGAAAAATTGGCAAGTGTTTCAAAATTTCTCACTTGCCATGTACTTTCACAAGTACTTCTCAATGGTAAAAATACTTGCTTTTATTGCTAAGAAGTACTTTCTGAAAGTCCTTGGCAAGTAAAGGCTTTTTATCACCGTAAACCGGATAAAGCGTATTTAAAAACCAAAACGATTTTTCTGTTTGACCAAAAAACTAAAAAGGTTTTTCTGGAAAGATTCGAAGAGTTTTCTAGCTTTGGTAAAAATCAGAAGGGTTTTTTAAAAGGAGTAATCGAACACTTTATACAATAAATAATTTGTCTTAACATCCGTGAACTGTTATGTAGCGATTTCCATATATAGAACGAGAGAAAAAGAAAAACTTTTGACATTCTAACATTTTCTTCATGCACATGTAACATTATTATGAAAATTTATTTTATTATTTTATATCTTGTTTTAATTTGTTAAACTGTATCTGACTCTTTTGTTTACAATCTCTTTTTGTCTTAGATGTCAGTTTTGCTTATTTACTACTTATAAACACTCTTTTTTTAACTAAAAATAGGGTTAAAATCAGCAGTTGCTTGAATAAGATAGGTTAGAATCGCTCGCCACTATCTATTTACATGACAATAAAGGAAACACTCGAATAATACTACATTGAAAACAATCCAATACTTGCAATTTTACTCGACAAGCGCTTGAACAAGTGCTTCTCAAACGAAAAATCAAGTACTTGCACGTTGGACAAGTACTTACAAATAAATTTACTTCTGAAAAACAGACAAGTATCGGCTTCATTACACAAGCAAAGCACTTGTCGCAAGTACTTGGGCACAAGTACGTTCTCCAGGGATAGGTGGACATTTGGTCAAAACTCGAAAGTGAGCTGTGTTGTGATCTGACTAGAGTCAAAAGTACTTCGTTAAATGCACTATCTGATGGCGAAAAAATTTTTATTCTACGACTATTCCTTACGGAAATATTCGATAAGAAAACGGTCATATAAGGAAAACGCTAGGACAAATGATGTTCTCAGTATAATCGAAACGCGCGACTTATCGGAGGTCTAATCTCATTCATTTTTACGCCAAAAATGTTCGCCTTGATGTCCTGCATTTATGATATATGCCAAAAAATGCCAAAATTTTCCTATATGGACTTAGAGGTTGTCCAAAAACCCTTGCTTGCGTATCTTAGACTTTTCTTAACGTTAAGAGTGTTTTTGCCGGAAGCGAGCGAAATGAGAAGTCGTGTTACATATTTGAACTAGAGCGTGTCAGAGTCTTAGAGTCACTGCTGTCTGTGGCGCTACAAGGTCATTAGCATCGTTGTTATTGTTTCTTGTATTATTCTCTTCTTCCTTCTTTCTTTTCTCAGCTGCGATAGCATCATCGTATGTCGGCGGCACCAATTCTTCCCTTATTGATAGTTGAGAGAACCGCGGTGGGGGTAGATTCTGAAACGGGTCCATTTCTATGACTGTCACAGTTGCCATTGACTCTGGAGCTGGCGGTGGCGGTCCTTCCATTGTCGCAGCTCGAGTCTTACGGGCACGTAGGCCCAGACAAGCGGGGACTAGTATTGGACATATACAGGTAATGACAACTAGCGATGGAATTAGTACAACAATTGTTGGAAATCCCGACCCCGTTGAACCGGAATTCGGGTATGAACAATCCGAGTAGTTTGCTGAAAAGAGAGAAGGAGAATAGTCTGCATTGTGAATTAACCGTGCGTGCACTTTCACGTGACACTTGACTTACGGTCATATTTACATCGAATAACACTATGCGCACATGTTTGAACTGTTGTATCATAGCAGACTCCATTGCACAACTGTACTGGACTTGTATATGAGAGACTATATTGCGAAAATCCATGACAAACTGTGGCATTGTAAACACAGACATCATCCAATCGAAGACATTGCCCGGGATTACTGCCGCACACTAGATCCGAATTACAAACTGTTTTATTTAAACAAACTTGAAAAGATGGTTCATAACATTGAAAGACTGGTTCGTGCAACTGATATCATTATACAACACCTCACAAAATTCTGCAGTTAAACTACATATCAGTGTATTATTGAAACATTGACGCTGTGTTTGATCATAATATTGATTTGCACAGATAGCAAGACTTTGAATCGTACCATTCACACATGTCTGAACTGTTGAATCATAGCAGATCCGATTGCACAATTGCAGCTTAGTGCGGTCTACAGTCCAGAAAACTCCTTGACAAACTGCGGTATTGTGAAGACAGACATCATCAAATCGAAGACATTGCCCGGGATTACTGCCGCACACTCGATCCGAATTACAAACTGTTTTATTCAAACAAACTTGAAATGATGGTTCATAACATTGCAAGACTGGTTCGAGGAACTGACCTCCGAAAGCATTATACAACACCTCACAAAGTTCTGCAGTTAAACTACATATCAATGTATTATTCAAACATTGATGCTGTAGTGGAGCGTAACAATACTCTGCACAGACACCACGGCATTGAACCGTATCATTTACACATGTTTGAACTGTTGTATCATAGCAGATGCTGCCTGCACATAACAGCTGTGAACCGGTACACAAATCAGAACGGACTGTAACTGATGATATAGAGAATACCAGAAATACAAATAAAGCCGATGCCTGTAGTCTTAACATTAATATTTTCAAATCAGGTAGTATAATCTCAATAGTGCTGCTGTTGCGTGTAGTACTCTATTCTTAAGATAACTTCATCCTTTTTACTTTTTCTTTCGTTTCGTTTAAATTAGTGAGCAGATTAGTCAGCTCTTTCTCCGTCACACATGATGTGTTTTTTCACAGTCCCTTTTCTCGTGTGAATCATGACTCTCTTTGCTGTTCCCTTACTTTTCCGTTACATTTTACGTGACAACGCCTTTACTAAAAGTAAACATATGACATGCATTATTTTCAGAAGTACGCGCAGTTTAGAATCTCAAAAATTTTCATCTTCCTGATCAGAGTGAAAACTTGTTTTCTGACGTTTTTGGGCGAAGAGTCAGCTGGATAATCTGGAGGATATAAATTGTAAAAATGTTGCTCAACATGTGGTCTCTTATGATTTACAGTAATGGATTTTGGCTTGCTAAGCGTAAAAAAATTTCATAGGCTTTCTTCTCCGGCTTCGTTTCCAAAGAAAAAAGAAAAATACATTTTTCCTTTTTATGTCAAATGGTTTTTGGCTCAGAGAAGTGCTACTTTTCTCCGTACCACTTTTTCTACGATATTTTCACCCACTTTTGGGAGAACTGCATAGCGTAGAAGAATTCTGAAGCTGTCTTCTGCGTAAGACAAATGTGAGTAAATTCTTCGGACATCAAATATTTGCTATTACCCTTTTGCTATAGGTTTTCTGTGATTCTCTATCTCATGGAATAATTTATGAGTCTTGAAACAGTTTTCTAAGCGTTTTTCTGAGTTTTAAGGAAAATATCTCTATATACAGTTACTAGAAATTAAGAAATCCATGAAATTCAAAACATTTGAAACAAATACGGATGAATTATGCACCTACAGATACAGTTTTTTGCGCTGCTTCCAAATATGTAATTGGTTTTTGATTGGGATGTAACCGAACTGGGAAAGTCTGATCTACCTGCAAGAATGAAGGGTTTTTGGATTACCTGTAGCTCTGTCTACTGTTGCCCGTGCTACTTCACGCTAACAGCATCGATATAGTATCTATATAGACGAACATTCTGTGCCAATTCTGTTGAATTTGAAGCTTGGCTAAACTTCGCGCACTTACTGTACGAAGACCTTTGTTTGAAAAACACTTCTCGGTGTCAGCATCGATGTCAGATGGCCACAGTGCTAGGTATGGTTCTGAACTTCTAGAGCTCACGAGGGAACCCCACGAAGTGATTAAACGCTTTTTGCTCGGAATCTAGTGGGTTATAGGTTATCGACCATGCTGATTACGAATACGACCATGCGGCTTCCGCATAGCCCTTCGAAGACCTGGTTTTCTAGAAAACGAGTTTTTCAGAAACCTCAAAAAATAATCCGAACCGTTCTTAATGAGGCATGATTGTAGCCCGCACATTTCTGATTAAAATGAGACTTCTCCCAATTCTACATGACCTTCCTCTGCAAAGTTATAGAATTTACACGAAGAGCCCTAAATTAATTTCTTCTTATTTCTGTAGCTTTTAGCTGACAATGAACATTTAAGGCTTTTGTTGTAAATTCTATAACTTTGCAAAGAAAGGTCATGT